GTCCCTCCAATTCCATCGCAAGGACTTTTTCCATGAGAAGTTGCAAAAAAGTGCCATTCTGCTTTTAATCCAAAATCCTCTTTATGATGAATTAAATTAGAAAAATTTTTGTAATTTTTGTATTGACTTACCGCACCATCAGAAAAATATTTAATTAAAGTAACGTTTTTCAGGTTTTGTTTTACATAGTTAATTAAATGTTTTTGAAAAGCATAAACAGCGGAAACATTGTGATCGAGACAGTCGCTAATCATGCAAACGCTTTTGACAGATAAGTTTTCATCGTCTCTGTAATAAAGAACAATTGGGTGAAGAGTAACTTGCGTGTTGCTCCAATGATGACTCTGGATTGCATCCTGTATTATCACCGAATAATTTTCAGCAAAATCCATTAAAGCAATACACTCCGAATTTTTTAAATTTTCTTTAGAATCGCTAAGATATTTCGATTGTTCTTTGCTTATGTAATGATGCGATGACAACTCGTCAAGTTTTTGCGAAAATCTTTCAATGAAACTGTCAACTGTATCCTGTACGGAAATCAATGAACTGCGATTATCATCATGGGACCATTGATAAAAACTGATTGTGTTGTCAATTGAAATTCCAGCTTCTTCGAAAATCGCTCTTAAGTTATTTTCGACGCTCAGTTTTCCTGGGCATTCCTCACATCTGTGTAACATACATTCTCTTGAATTTATATTGCACACTAATTTTTCCAGCCAAAATTTGTAGCAATGATTTAATGGCACACTTTCAAGCATAAGTTTGATATTTTGATGATATTCACAGATGCACACTCGATGTGCTCCAGGCGATGAAACAGTTACACACCATGGTGGACGCAGTTTGAAAAAAGTTGAAAAACCAATTTTTAAATTCTTTTGTTTAACGAATTCAAAATAAATTTCTTTAATATTTGCAAGTAAAATTTTTTTCTGATGGTATACTTTTTGCTGACCTTCTGTAACAGTGACAAAATCTTTCTTTCCAGGGCAGCAGATAGAAATTTCTTGTTGATTGTAGAAATCGATTACAGATTGTGTTGTGGGCTCGTCAATAGTTTTACCTTTTTTCTTATGTGGTAGTGATAAAATGCCTGATTCTCTTTTCAATTTCCTACTTTTAATAACAAGATGTTTTGAACATGAAAAAAATGAAGCAGTTCTTGAGAGGGTCCATGATGGTGGGACTAGAGTTAAAATTTGTTGTCTGTGACGATAATCGCTTGAAAAAAATTTTACTTTTAATTCCTCCATAATATTTTTGAAACCATCGCAATGTTTACAATTCAAAACTTTTTTTGGTGTTTGAAAAATATTTTTATCCTTTTCAACCAACCTGGCTGATTTTTTGCATAACAACTCTACTGCATTGCGAACTTTTTTCTTCATGTACGGTACTTTGTTACTTGAGCTTATTTTTCTTATTCTTAAAGGTGAACAGCCGGCAGCCAAAAATATTTGATTCAACGACTCGCCGGTTACGACATTTTCAGATGATGAAGACGAGGATGGCGGTGCGGGTGGTGGTTGTGAAGTTGAATTTGATGGAGATAGTTTGCCTATTTTCATTCGACAAGAAATGCAAAACATTTCTCCTGGTTTTACATTATGAGATGATTTTATTGCAAGCGCCTCTGTTGCTTTTCGAAGACTTTTTCTACAAGGTTTTCGATGTTGTTTGAAGGGATCACAACATTTACGAACGTCTAGATATAAATTAAAGGTATATTGCATCATCAAAATAATTAATAGAACAATTGTATTATGTTAAGCGATAATTGTAAATATTCATAAAAACATAAAATCATTATTCTTACCGATTTTTCCCATTTTGAATTAAAAGGCGATAAAATAGTTTTGAATTGATCCAAAAATTTCTTACAAATTTTTAACATCGGTTGTGTATACAGCATGCAAAAGGCCTGACGATACAAATGAAGACAAGACAACGATATAATAATGTTATACAAATGAAGACAAGACAACGATAATAATAATATATAATACGATGCTGAATAAATATCCTCATAGCCAAATAAAAATAAGCATAATTTATGATTACTTGTTAAAGTAATTCATATGAATAGACTGTTATAGGTAATGTATAACTGCCATCAAAGGACGTAATAGCAAAGTAGGTGAGGAGGCGA